AGCATTTACAAGAATACACAATTCTAATATTACAATTCTATTACTTTCATATTTTTTCGTGAGTTTCGTAGGCGTTGAATCTGTGATTGGAATATTAATGACACGCAACAGCTACTATTTCAATTGGTCATTAAAACAATTGAAATTATAGCCGTATAGAATGATCAATTTAATTGAAAGGTCATTGCATTATAGCTAGATGTCAAATTGGAATTACATAAGAACTGGTTTGTGATAAATTTGAGGGAAGACGTTTTACCAAATACAGTGGATCTTCACAATTAAACGTAAAATTTTGGAAATGTCTTCAAAGGTATTGGGAATTAAATTTGAATAAGATATGAAGGGAAGAAATTAGATGAGAGAAGTTGAGTATTAATTTAACATATTTACATTTAAAGTTAATCATTTTTGGAATTTTTAGAGTAAACTTTGGTAAAGGAAAATCTATTACCGGCACTTACAAATGGCGACCAAACAAGGCTAACGAGTCAACTTAAAACAATTTAGCATATTTGCATTTAAAGTTAATATTTTTCAAATATTTTAGTCAGAAAAGATAACGTAACTTGGTACATGGTCCTAAAACCCCACATTGAAGAAACTTCCTAGAAGAAATGTCGCTCTTAAAAAATTTAAGAGTAATTCTGAGTATACTTTCTAGAATAAAGCATTTTCTTGAGCCACCTTTTCAAAGAAGAAATAGTGGTTTTAATGCAGCTATGGACAGCTTCGAACGTAAAAGTATAATCAACGCGCATGTATTCTCTATCGATTCTCATTTTCCATTGATTTGAAAGGGCGACTTAGTATTTTACCACTACTAAAGCAGATATTATGAGCATGGCTGTTTTAAGGACACCTCTAGAAAAGCAATTTTTAGCGGATGAGATATAATCAATTAGAGATTTTTCTATCCTCCTTTTAACGCCGCTAGCTTTCCCCTCAAAACATAGAAGCCAAAACTCTCAGTTGTGAGGAAATTTTTCAAAGTACTGCTACTTCCATTGTAAAATGTTTTTTTCTGCTAAAAATATCCTCAATTTAACTGTGATGCCGCTAACATTTATTGAGCGGGGTCATCATTCAATTAAAATTGATTAAATGCATGATGTTTTTTTTTTCTGTACTATATTTTCTTCTAAGTGAACATATTTACACTGACACTCACATGTATAAAACAGAAACGTAGCAATGACATTTTTCTGAATATGATAGAGAGTGGCTACACAGCTGCGGATTTTACAAACGTCAAAATATGAGACAAAGGGAAGTAGGAAAATACACCTTAGAAAGCTTGAGAACACAACAGAGATCTGACAAATCGATTAATACAAAAGAAGACAAAGATCACTCCAAACTTCACCAACATTATTTCTTAGATAAGTTTTAAATTTTGCTCTAAATCAAATTCTATTCAAATTCTCAATAGTGTTTAAAATCTAAAAGTTGTTTGCCGCCATAAAATAGTCCCCGCATACGCCACTGTTCCACAATACGATTATGTATGCCATAATTTCCACCAGCGGTGATGACAATGACAAAAATTGCCTGTGTTTTTGGCTCATAGCTTTAAATTGAATTTTCCGTTTTAGTATAAAACAGATGAAGAAATTATTCCCATCAATGAAATGCTAGAAATTTTCACATCAGCAGACAAAGAGCAGATGTTTAGTTCGTTCTATTTTCCAAAGAAAAATGCTTTGAAATTGTTGAACTACAAAAAAGAACTTTACAAATTTCGTTTGAAATTTTCTAATAAAAATATAATTTTTGTAACTTTTGCAAGGAAGAATCAGAAAATTCAATTAATATCATTTGTGAATGTAGGGAAATGATGCAAATCAAAAAAAAAAAAAACTATTAGAAAGACAAAGACTTTGCATTGGAAAGAAGAAGATTGGAATAAACTTGCAAACTATATGAAAAAAATATATATAGACAACTTCTTTTGAATTATTTTAAGTTATTCATAAATGAAAACCTGATATTGATCATATATAGCGCGATAGACATACAGTGAAGGAATATAGTCAACATACGCCTTACGATTTTAAGATTTTATTTATAAACAAATAAAAAAACATTATGTTTTCCTTTTTACCCTCCACATTAGGGTAAAGGAAACATTAGAACCCCCAAATACCAATTTTTAGACATATTCGTGAGAAAATGTGGAAAAAATCATCAAAATACCGAATATCAGGAGATACCGTTATATGGGGACTATACCAAAACATGAACCTATATTTTAATACCAATCATCCTAGACACAAAACACAAATTGTTCTGCTAAATTTTGACACTCTTTGTCAAATAATGTGTGCTGTTTCGTGATTTCAACAGACAGACAGACGGACATCGTTAAATCGACTTAGAATTTTATGCTGATTATGAATATATTTCATAATCAGTATGTAATTTAGGGATGTTACAAACGGAATGACAAAGTTAATATACCCTCCTTTTCAAGGAGGAGGGTATAAAAATCATACCGAGAAATCGCCAAAACTTGTAATTTATTCGTGAGAAAATGTGGAAAAAATCATCAAAATACCGAATATCAGGAGATACCGTTATATAATACCAAAACATGAACCTATATTTTAATACCAATCATCCTAGACACAAAACACAAATTGTTCTGCTAAATTTTGACACTCTTTGTCAAATAATGTGTGCTGTATCGTGATTTCAACAGACAGACAGACGGACATCGTTAAATCGACTTAGAATTTTATGCTGATTATGAATATATTTCATAATCAGTATGTAATTTAGGGATGTTACAAACGGAATGACAAAGTTAATATACCCTCCTTTTCAAGGAGGAGGGTATAAAAATCATACCGAGAAATCGCCAAAACTTGTAATTTAAGTCGTTCAATTGTGCAAACTGTAATGAAAGAAGTAAAACTGAAAATAAGCGCGATCTGGTAGACCGAATAAGTTATCCAAACGAGATGTTATCAGTATTCTCAAGAAAGTACGTCAGGATCCAAAAATAAGTGCTGTGAAATTGGCGAAACATGTGGAAAAATTTTCAGACACGATTGTCCATCTGAGAACTATAAGAAATGTGCATAAGAAACCGCTAATTTCGGAGAAACCTCGAAAACTTCGTCTTCCGTTTACCAAATTACATATCGACAAAGGATTGATTATTGGAATCGCATTCTATTTACCAATGAAAGTAAATACAACATTTTCGAACCATCACGATCGAAAGTTTCGAGAAAATCACAGCACTAGATCCCTAATATATAATACCTATTTTAAAAACGGTGGTGATAGAGTGATGGATTGTCCATCCGAGAACTGTAAGAAATGTGCTTCATCAAAATGGATTTAGAAGCAGAGTAGCACATAGGAAACCGCTAATTTCGGAGAAACCCCGAAAACTTCGCCTTGCGTTTATCAAATTACATATCGACAAGGGATTGACTATTGGAATCGCATTCTATTTACCAATGAAAGTAAATACAACATTTTCGAACCATCACGATAAAAAGTTTCGAGAAAATCACAGCACTAGATCCCTAATATATAATACCTATTTTAAAAACGGTGGTGGTAGAGTGATGGATTGGCTTCTGGATTCAGTGTGGGATTTAGTTTTTACAGAAAGCACTACGGACCGATATTTATATAAGAGCATACTAGGAAAACATTTGAAGCCACCTGTCGATAATTTGTGTCTCAGAACTCAATGCATCTTCCAACAAGACAATGATCCTAAGCATACAACTTACGTAGTCCTAGACTGACTTCCTTATTATGCTCCAAGACAACTTAACTTACCTCCCGAAGTCGTCGGACCTCAATCCCATTAGAACATGTTCGGTATATTTTAGAAAAAACTAAGAAATATGTCATTAATAGCTAAAAGCTGGAAACTTTAATTCAAGAGCGTTGTTAGCAGTGTTCGCAAAAAAGTACGCCAGGATCCAAAAAATAAGTGCTGCGTGATTGGTGAGACATGTGAAAAAATGTTCAAACAAGATAGTCCATCCGAGAACTTTGAGATATGGGCTACATGAAATTGGATTTAGAAGCAGAGCAGCACCAATTTCGGAAAATCCCCAAAAACTTCGCCTAGAGTTTGTCAAATTACATATCGACAATGGATAGATTATTGTATTGAAATCGCTTTCTATTCACCGACGAAAGTAAATCAAACATTTTTGAAAGTGTTAGTGGATCAAAAGATTCGAGAAAACCACAGCACTAGATGTCAAAAATATAATACGTAAAGTTAAACATGGTGGTGGTAGTGGATGGTTCAGGGAGCAATTGCGGAGTTGGGAGTGAGGAATTTAGATCCTATCAAAAGCACTATGGACCGATATTTATATAAGAGCATACTAGAAAAACATTTGAAGCCATTTGTCGATAATTTTACGTCTCAAAAAGATCCATTGATCTTCCAACAAGACAATGATCCGAAGCATGCAGCTTACGTAGTCCTGGACTGGCTTCTTAATTATGATCCAAGACAACTTAAGTCACCTCTCCAGTTGCCGGACCCCAATCCAATAGAACATGTTTGGGATATTTTAGAAACAAACTAAGAAAATATGACATTAGTAACCGACAACCCTAAAAACAGCTCTAAGTCCAGCATGGTCTGAAATAATGCCCAATATAACTTAAAGCTTAGTGTCTTCTATGCCTAAAAGTTTAAATTCACAAAATATAAATATTTTAGATTAAAAAATATTAATTAACGTTCATAGAAATATAATAGCTGTATGTAGACTTTTTCCAATGATTTTTTTTTTTTTTTTGAGAAAACTTTTCTAAAAGAAAAATTGTTTGTCTTCAATGGTAATTTCTATTGAAGATCCTTTTCGGAAAGAAATGTGTTTTTAAGGACACTTTCTAAAAGAAAGAGTATTTTTATGCCTTCGATTATTATTTATATAAAATTTTTTTTAGAAAGATTTTTATAATAAGAGAAAAATGTTATTAATAATAATAATAAATTCTCGAATACTTACAGTAAGCTGTGACCACAGCAAATAGCATTAGCCATTTTATAATATTGATTAATAGCCCCATTGCGGAACGCTGTATCATGCGCTGTTCTTTGGTTTCGGGTGAGATCAAATTCAAATTTAAGATATTCGCTTTTGCTTGACTAAACCAACGCTTAATAATAAAGTGAAGGTTGGTGTGTTTTTTTTTTTGTTTTCGATTTAGTTGTGATTTAATTAATTGTTGTTGTTGTTTTTAGGGTTTCACGTAATCCAAGTACGCGGTGTTGATGATGATGATGGCACACAGAAAAAATTCACTATCGATTTTTTTATTTTCAATTTTATTTCTCAAACGCACTGAGAAATGCAATCAAATAACCTAGAAAACAAAATTAAAGAGGATTATAGACTGGTGAGAAGGAAACGCGAGATTGAGGAAAAAATCACAATCACAGCACTGGGTAAACACTGGACACTAATTTTATTTTATTTTTTCAAGTGGATATAGGCACAAAGATCTGGAAAGAAAAGAAGAGACAAAAAAGAGAATTAATTAAATGAATTTTTGTTTAATTGTTATTAATATAAGAAACGTGGGGGAATTCAATTAAGTTTAAAATAAAAAAAAACAGAAATCGGAAGGTTCGTGGCATTTAGACATTGGAAATAACAATGACTATCCTCGAAAGTTACGTTCCGAGTTAAGGCAAATTTTAGCTCTCTCTCTGAATACTTATGTCCATGACGGTTTGGAAACAAATTTGAAAAAAATTAATATAATCAAAAACGAGAGGGGGTCCTTTGTTTATTATAGAAAAATGTACAAAAGCGAAATGACAATATGTCCACTATTTAAAAGCATTTGAAATGGGGGTGGTGTTGGCATTTGGCGAAGTTCTATTATTCCATTTGTCATCTCCAGCGGAAACATGGAGAATTTCCGTTGCTGTTGTTTTGTTTTGCTTTTTGTTCGACTTCTATTAAATTAAACTTTGTTTACAAAAGCCATAAATTTGTTTTTGTTATTTTCATTATTATTAATGCCATTGTAGGTCTGCATACATTTGTTCATTAATTTATGTTAAATTATGCAGTTTGCCTTACAAAAAAAACTGAGCTGGAAACTTTATTCAAGGGCTTTGTGTTGCTATTGTTGATAAAAAACACCCTCTCCTTTTTTAACAGACTTCCTTTGACGCTTTGGCATGGCCAATATTTCAAAGAAAACTTAAATTAAGGAGACTGAGTTGTGGAAGAAAGAATCAAAAGAAGATGGATGGATTATACATTGGCTAACTCTTCGCAAGACTTCCCACAAACGAAGTCTCAAGGGTTCTATTGACCCAAAAACCTGCCAGCCTACATCCAACTGAAATTTATTCCCATAACATTAGGACGCGTTGTGTGAAGTTTACGCTACGTTTTGTGGTGGCGATATAGTTGGTTGTGACAAGAGTGTGAGGCTGTTCCTAAAAAAGGGGATATTAGTTGCATTATGCAAATGGCGCCCAATTTGGGGCAAAGAGTGTTTATTTTTTGGAATTCCAAATTAACGATTCTATAAAAAATAACCGGCCAGTCTATGGAAACCTGATTAAAGTTTATACAAAAATATTTATTTTTTCAAAAATCTCCCAGTTTAGGCCAATGCCAATCCCGTATTTAATAGAAACTTGGCAAAAGGGAAACTTTTGGCCCATTTATATTTTTCTCCTTCAAATGAACGTTTCTAGGTGAAGTCTCAAGAGTTCTATTAACCCAAAAGACCTACCTACCTACTGAAATGCATTCCCATAATATGCGGTGGCGGTATACTTGGTTGTACCTCAGCAGAGCGATATTAGTTACATTATGTAAATGGCGCCCAAATCGGGGCGAGGAATAAATAGTTTTTATTAATTTTAAACCAACGTCAATGGAATAGCTAATTAAAGATTACACAAAGAAAAAAATCGTATTTTTTACAATGGCGCCCAAATGCCCTTTCTTTTATATAAATTTTGTAAATGGAAAACTTCTGTTACAATTATATTTATATTTTGTTCCTTCAAAAGGACGTTGCTAATGAAAATTAAATAGCCAGTCGAAAAAAAATCAGAGATTTATATAAGCAAAATAATTCCACTTTCAGAGTGGCGCCCAACGTGGGGGAAATGCTTTTATTACACTTATTTGGCAAATGGGAAACTTCTGTTTCCATTCTTTATCTTTTTTTCAATTATGTACTACTAATATATTGCATTAGGCATAGGACGCCCAATGCGGAATTAAGCACACATTATAACGATATTATTATTGGATTATTCCGATTATGAAATATGTAACGAAATAAAGGCCAGTGAAAGCAGTTTCGAGACTATCGCGGTGACTTTTTATTATCACTTGAATAATTTAAATATCCTCCATTAGAAAGCCTTATGTAATTGAGTATCTCCTACCAAGATAAGATTCTTGCAGTTTTACCAAAATAAAAAAAATATTTTTACTAGTACAAAACAGAGATGGGAAACTGTTTTCCATGCTTCTATTTAAATGTAATTATTTCTGTTTCTAAGCCGATCTAATTTTAAATCTTCATAAATGGCGCCCAACGTTGGTCTAAGAGTTCCATGTCGAAGAAATTCCGAAGTTTCTTAATTTTCAAAACATTCATTGGATTCAAAAACTAATTTTTTACAGTGGCGCCCAAGGTGGGTTTGTTTTAATACCATTTAAAAAGGACGCGATGGATTTTTATAAATCTATCCGGTATACTCAGTGTATCAAATCTATATTCCTACCCTCCTTCAGCAGATCCAACATCTGGATTGCTGTGGGAGTCATTGAATGAAATGGGCCATGAGTATGAAATGGGGCAGAGAAATAATGAGTTCTCTGCGAAGATGAGGGGAAAGTAGAAACGATCACGGAACTATCCTTATCACAGTACTCAGAACTTTGGGTCTACTTTCCCACTCTATACCAAACCTATACCTGTAAACGTGACTAGATTTACGAGCCATATCGAGGCGAGAGGAATATCGAGTTCTCTATAAAGATGAGTTCTCTATAAAGAAACGGTCACTGGCACTACTCGGAACTTTTTCTCTATTTTCTCACTCTCAGCCAAACCAAAACCCGGATCACTACTTTCCCTTAATCTCTCTTTCTATTAAAGCCTAGATCAGGATCGCTAAGGGATAATCTCTGACCACAGCAAACAGTACTATCTCCCTACTCCCTCTCTCTCTCTCAGCAAAGGCGAGGACATAATTGTTGTAGTGCCGTTACATGTCATGACTAGAGTATCACCAAATCCCACATGTAGATTACATCGACCAAGATCCAATCTTCTACCCACACTACAAATGGCTTTTAAAGGAGATTCTGAAAGTGGCGCCCAATTTGCGGTTTCATATATTTACTTCAGAGTAAACAATAATAGACCGCTAATCTACAAGCGATAGAGATGTCTTGTTTAGATTGGTATCACAAAAAGTTTAAGTTTCTGTTTGGTTGCATTTGAGGTGCTACAAAACCATCGAACCACTACATTAGGCTATAAAATCTGCAACATCCCAATGCTGTCGACATGATTACTGATTGGGTGTTTTGATGATAATCCGCCTCTTTTTCTTCGTCTGTAGAACATCTAGTCTTCTCCTAACTAAGCTGCATGGTCACCGATAGAAATAATGAAAGTGGCGCCCAATGTAAGGTTTAAAATATTTGTTTCAGAATAAGATGTCATTGGTGTCCAAAAGAAATATTGAAAATGGCGTCAAAAATAAGGATTACATTTTTTGTTTTAGAATAAACACAAATAATCTGTTGGCGAACAAGTGGTAAACCTTCTTATATACAGTTGCGTGCAAAGAAATACTGAAAATTGGCGCCCAGTGTTGCTCTTAAAAAGAATGTACTTCTTAGACCTTTACAGGATTGTAGCTCTAGAATAAATTTAATTTGGCACAAAATTGAAGAATGACATTTGCAACAGATATTGGGCGCCAAACAGTGACTTCCCTTCTCTGGATTGAGTGTTGCAATTCATTTACTCATTCATCTACTCATATCAAAAAAGGCACACATTGGGACGATGTTGTAGTTCAATTAAATATTCACTGAAATGAGCAACTGAACTATTGTTTCATGAAAGGCCGAACTATCCACTGGCCAAACATTTTTATAGCCTCCGTTTGGGAGTTTGTTTACCCTTTTCAGTCTCTCTCTCTCCCGCTCAGAAACGGAAATCATGCTCTTTTAATATTATTATGAGAAAATAAATTTTATTTCCAGAGTTACCACCTGAAATTAATTTGTCACTTGAGTGGAATTTCTTCTTCTTTTCTTATTTCTAATTTCTTCTTCTTTTATAACACTTTGTAAGATATTTTCTAGTTATGTATTACACCGCCTCTTCCATATATATCACATCTTAAAAGAAAATTTCCAACAAATTTTATAGGGCCATAAAATTTCCATTTTTAAGACAGCAATTAGTTGTGGTGGCACCCAAAATAAAGTGATGTCGTTCCTTGGTAGCCATCCCGGTGTCATAAATGGATCGAATTGAGATCCAATTAATATATGGCTTCAGTTTTCCCCTAAAATTTTTACGAAAAAACTTTCCTGGAGCTGGTTTCTGGAAGCATCCCACAATTTATTGAATGGTAATTTATAGACATCATAACTGTGACATTAATGCCGTCCGTTCTAGTTTCCAATTTTCATTTTTGGCTAAGAGACTGAGTGTGTTGTGTGTGGTGTAACGGGAGAGTAGGAGGGGACAGTATTAAGTTTTAGTTCTACGAAAATTTATTGTTATTCCTAGACATAAAAAAGTGCATTAGTATGCTATGGTGGACCATTTGTTAAAATTTAAACAAGCTGACTTATGACAGCTTTTTGTTGTTTTAGCATCCAAAAAATTTTAAGATTTTTTCTGAGAATAAAATGCGCTGATTTGAAAATATCTCAGCTGCAACGGAAATTATGAAATTGAAATGCAATCCGACAAATCTTAGAAGGCCATAAATTTTATGGATTTTTTCTGTTTTGAAAAAAACCATTTTCATCGGAGGGTTAACAAAAGTTGGTGTGTGCGTGTACCTTAAGTGGGAGTGAAAAAACTGTTTATTCAGATCAATGATCTTTTACACCCCAATATTTTTTTGTTTGTTTTTGTGAAATATTACAATAAAAAAATGTTGTTTTTATTGTTATAAAAATACGTTACAATTTGTTGTGTCAGTTTTTTTTTCATTAATGGTTTATTTAAACAATTCTCTAAATTAAATTGGAAACACAACGAGGCGTTGAGGGATGATTGTCTTTCATTCGTTCATTCTCTCCTCCTCATTCCATTCCATCTAATATCCAGATGACAACATGTGTGTGCGTTTGTGTTTTATTGTTAATGGGGTCTGGTGCGTATGGACCTTGTCATATTGTGAGAGGGTGGTTTTTCCCCTGTAACGATCACTT